AAACCGGTTGGCAAGATGTGGAGAGGAGTGATAAGTAAAGCCAAAGATGGGAGTAGTAAAAATAGGCATGTTCTCTTTTAGCATTGGTTAGTAAGAACAAACAAAAACAGCAATGAAGAAGAAGAATACAGTGGAAACAAAATCAGAATGGGAGCTAGGAGATATTTGTTATGTCCCAGCTTTGTACTGGTGTGACCCTTAGCAAGTCAATTCCCTTCTTGGGTCTTAAGTTTCCCTCTCTGTAAAAACTAGGGGACTGGACTATGTGACTTCTAAGATATCTCTTAACTCTTATGCTGTGAGATGAGGGTTAAACTGACAAGGAGAGGGGCCGGCCTGTGGCTCACTCGGGAGAGTGCAGTGCTGATAAACTGGCAAGGAGGCAGCCCGTGGTCCACTACACTGGCAACAATAATAATGAATTCATTTTTAAAATCTAGCGCCAGTCAACAGAGTTTAGGGCAACAAAACTTTTCTGAAGGTGTGAAGAAACATTCTTGTAAGGTGATTCCATTCCTTTGACCTAATAATTATCCTATAGAAGGATACAATGCCCTGAAAGTTACATCTATTTTATTCTACTTTGAGAAAAGAGCTGTGAAAACTCACCTTACATCTGCAGCATGTTCCAAGATATTTCCTAGTGTCCCTCATCCAAAAAGTATGTATTGCCTGTCTACTATGAGCTGGATGCTGATAAGTACTGAGGATTTAGTAAAAACAAAACAGTCTTTACTGTCATGGAACCCACAGTGTGTGGATCAGTAGCCACTTAATTCCTACGCATCTGTATCAGTGCTTTTACAAACTGCCTTGAGTAACGGGTGAAAGCTATGGAAACTCTCTCTCAAAAACAAGTATATAATCATAAAAATTTGAATATAATTTCAGAAGTTCACAGGACCTCTCAGATCTGTGGAGGTGTTCAAGTACTGAATGTTAACAACCTTGACCTATACCTAAAACTACATCTACAAAACAATAAACAAATTCAAGCTCATAAACGCCTATATTATGTTTGCTAAGGGAGTATAGCAAAGATTGCCAATAGAAACAATTAAAAGTAAAGGTCCATCATTTAAAGGATTAAGTTTTGATTATTTGAAATTTCTTTCTTTCCTTTTTTTTTTTAAATTTTGAGCTCTACTTCTAGATGATTATTTGAAATTTCATTCACCTAGAGTATCTTATTCCAAATAATATTCTGGAAAAGTAAGGTATGCTTAGATTATGTTTCTATTTGATCGATCTAGCAGTTTTGGTTGCTTATTAAATCAGTCTTCTTTCTTGAAAAGCCATTTGCACATGAATGGGTACTTCCATTTCACAAATAAATCTGCATTTCACGACTCTTCCTAGCCATGACAAATTCATATACACACATATACTGACCGAGCAGCTTGAACAACTGTAAAACAGAGCACAAATTCTGGAATTAAAGGGTACTGGCTCCTCTCCTGGCACTAACATTTCCTGGGGACGTGATCTTGGACAAGTCATTTAACCCTCTGACCTACGTTTCTTCATGTATAAAATGGAGAGAGAATAAGACTTAGCTGAGAGAGCTGCTATGAGAAATCAATCAAATAAAATAATGCATGTGAAAGCGTTCGGCAACAAGATGGGCAGAAGTGGGTGAAAGCCAGAGCAGATCATTTGGAGTTACAAAACAACAGATATTCACAGAAGATCATTTGGAGAGAATTGCTCATATAACATCCTTTGTGTGCTATTAAAATTTTTCTATCTGAAGTAAAATAAATTGTTCTTAAATTGCTCAAGGCATTTTGTTTTGGTTAAGTGCCCAATAGCAAAGTTCTTAAACAGCAGAAGTCTGCAGAAAGGCTTTGGAATTTTCATGAAGTATATATTCTCAAAGCAAGATGAACTACTTACAACACTCACAGTATTAGTTCAAAGAAGTCAAAGTCCCTTTCACACAGTCCATTTTAACTTTTTTACAGAGCAGTGATTCTTTCACTTGCCTTGTTGAAAGGCTTTATAGTAGTTAATAGAATGTGCATGAAGGATTTCAGGCAAATTAGTTCAACAAAACTGATAAAATGAATGAAGTCGATAACAATATGGGGGCTTTTCTTTTTTAGTGGAGGGGGTGTACTGCAAATTAAATGTGCCCCCAAAACTCACTGAAGCTTGATCCCCATTGTAAGAGTATTAAAAGGGTGGGAATTCCAATTACGGCAATTAACATGAGGCCTTGAAGAGGTGATTCCATTCATGGAGTAATGGGCACAGTTCTGATGGCTTTTAAGGAAAGTGAAGGGCCGTGGCTCACTTGGAAGAGTGTGGTGCTGATAACACCAAGGCTGCGGGTTCAGATCCTATATAGGGATGGCTGGTTAGCTCACTTTGCAGAGCGTGGTGCTGACACCACCAAGTCAAGGGTTAAGATCCCCTTACCGGTCATCTTTTAATGTCGTATAACTTCGTATAATGTATGCTATACGAAGTTATTACGCCCGTGGCTCACTTGGAAGAGTGTGGTGCTGATAACACCAAGGCTGCGGGTTCAGATCCTATATAGGGATGGCTGGTTAGCTCACTTTGCAGAGCGTGGTGCTGACACCACCAAGTCAAGGGTTAAGATCCCCTTACCGGTCATCTTTTAAGAGGAAAAAAAAAAAAGGAAAGTGAGTGAGGAACATGACCCTCACTAGATGTGTTCCCTGAACTCTTGAACTTCATAGCCTCCAAAACTGTAAGAAATAAATTCTATTTCTTTACAAATTATCTAGTTTCAGATGTTTTGTTATAAGCCACAGAAACGGACTAATACAGGGTGTTTGCTTTTAATGAAAGCAAATAATACCTTCCAGTGGGAGATATGTTTTCCAGTCCATTCTCCACTGGAACACAAGATAAGCTATGCAAAGGATAGAAAGGACAGCCTTTTTTGGCTATGTATCAAACTTGTGAAACTATCCCACATTCACATTTTTTATATTGCATTACTTCATTTACATTTACAGTGTACCATTTACATTATTCCAATAGCTAAGCTTGGGGCTATTCTTCCTTTAAAAGTTGAATTAAAAATCTTTTTAATAATTTGGGACCATGGAACTAAAGATCATACGACTCACCAAAGTTCATAAAGGTGACCAAAAGACCGAATTGCCCTGGTAACCAGAAAAGAGTCATGATGTATAAGCACTGATTTCTCAACCCCTACTATGCCAAGGCTCTGCTGGTTTTCCGAAGGAGAATTAAGCTCTCATTACCCGACTCTAAAATAGCCAACACACAAAGGTCTACTACTAAAACAAACTGCAGATGCTGCACTTAACTTACATAACACTTTCCTTAAAGAAATTCAAAGCACTTAATTGTAGAATTGTTTAAAAGTAATGTATTCCCCATTTTAGGAAAACAAAGGAAAATAATAGCATTCTGCGAGACCTTAAATCCCTTGTCTAATCAGACACTTAATGGGTGGGAAACCCCAGACTCCAGGTTTTCTGAGAAATGAGGTGGCAAGGGGAGGAGAGGGAAGACTGAACTAGGGTAACAGATAGGGAAGGTTAAGGTGGACAGCTGAATGAATCGGGCAACGGGGAGTTTTAGGGATGGCAGGTGCATTAAGGACTGAGCTCGGAGGAGGCTGGGGACGGGGTCGAGGGAAAGGAGGGAGCAAGGGCCCGTTAAGTTGGTGGGAGCCGGGTGTATGGCGAGCCAGGTGCGAGGGTCACTTCGGGCAGGCACCCCCGTGTCTGCTTAGCAGCTGGTCGCTCACCCCTTCTTCTCTCCCATTATTACCCCTAAGGGGGTAGGACTCCAAGCAACCTGAAGGGGACATGTCACGGAACGGAGCAATTCCGGGACCTGAGAAGGCCGCCGGACTCCCCCACCCGCAGGGGCTGGGCTGGCTCCCCTGCCTCCCCCAGCCCGGCTTGCGTCTCACCCGCCGCCACGCGCAGACCGCGGAGGCTCCCCATGGCCACCTACTCCACCGGCCAGCACGGCACCTCAACCTGCGGCGGTGGCGCTGGTACGCTCAATGTCACCGAGCGCCTAGGCCAGGAAGGACGCGAGAGACGTGGGTGGGCGGAGCCAGCAGGGTGGACGGGACGCGCCAGAGCGTGGGCGGACCGGCGTGACGCACACGGCGTGTGGGACGTGCGCGACGAGCCGAAGAGCGGAGCGGCACGTCCCGGCTCGCCCGCGCGGGCTGGGCGGCCTGAGCCGAGCGTCAGGAATACTGCCGCGGAGTGTGCGTATCGTGGGCCTTTGCCTTATTCTCTGCATTTGCGAAAGTACCCGTTTGAAATGGAAGAAAAAGCGTAGAACTTTTGTGAACTGTAAACTCCCGAAACACACTCTAAGCCAGTATTTCAGTACACCGTTCTTCCAGAGTTATCGTGGAATATATATTTTTATCAAAAACACGTAATTGGACCCGTAGTGCCCAATGGCCCTCTCTCTTATTGGCTTTAGGAGCATCCCTCAGGCTGATCAGAGAAATTAGCGTGTATGTTTCCCATTTTGTTTTCGATTTGCCTGTTTTTCTAAAAACATTTTATCATTTCACCACTAAACACCTTACTCCACCCTTAACCATCCACGCTGCCAGAAATGCCCTTTTTTTCCCTTGACGTTTCTTAGTGGCCCCAAATTCTTAATGAATAAAAGCCCCTCTGCTCTAGGGTCGGGGGGTAGACACTGGAGTCAGAGGGATTATAAAGAAAAGCCTCACCTCCCTAGATTTCCTACTGGAACCCCCTGGTTGGGGTAACCGGGAAACTGTTTCCCTTTTTGTTTAAAAATGGGATTAGGGGCCGGCCCGTGGCTCACTCGGGAGAGTGCGGGGCTGATAACACCAAGGCCACGGGTTCGGATCCCATATAGGATGGCCAGTTTGCTCACTGGGTGAGCGTGGTGCTGACAACACCAAGTCAAGGGTTAAGATCCCCTTACCGGTCATCTTTTTTTTTAAAAAAAAAAAAAAGGGATTAAATGGTCCCTTCAAGTACTAACAATATTTGACCCACACATCTGGGACAGTTCCTGGAGGGCAGGTTAAAGGGGTTGGAGTGAAAAGCAAGGACAGCAGGGTGACGGGCTCCAACCTCGTGCTCTGCCATCTCGCTGGAGCGCCTCTGGACGATTTTTTGTCCGGTGGCGCCGCGGACACCTTTGCTCCGCGGTGATTGGTCTGCAGCGGGGTCCTTGCGTTTGTCCAATATGGCGGCGCCCAGTGGCGGTGTGAACTGTGAGGAGTTCGCCGAGTTCCAGGTGAGGGGGTTTTCCTTATGTGGCAGGCGTGTCCCTCCTTTTGTCCCCGGACCCTATTCCGTGCTCTGGCCAGAGAAAGAGTGTGGACCAGTTGTGGGGAACGCTGGCAGTTCAAGGCTCTTTTTTCGAGCCATTGGAGGTCATGGGGGGCGCGGGTTTGGCTTAGGGAGCGAGGCTGCTCCGTGGGGGAAGGGAAGTGAGGGTCAGAGTTCTCCTTGCGTGGCGCAGGCCTTGACCTGGAAACTCCGGGTGGTTACCTGGTGGTAAAGCTGAGCTCGGGCTCCATGGGTAGGAATTGTAAGAATTTTGTAGCAGTCCCCTGAACTCAGCTCCCAGCCTCTGCCATTCCTCTCGTATTTTAAGTTCTTTTGTGGCGAGAAGAAAGCGAAAAAGAGTTTACTTGATGAAACAAAACAAAACACTTGGCACAAATTATTTTGGTGGGACACAATGTTTGGAAGCTTGGAGGGAAGATTAATTTTAGTATGTGTTCTGGTGCTATTGCCTTTCTAACTATTAGATGAAACACAAGAGAAAGGCTGTATCTTTTTCTATTCAAACACCAGAGGTCTAGGACTAATTATTAACCCATGACTTGAAGAACACGTGTCTGGGTTTTGACCAAGTTGCAATGAAAGTTATCTGTTCCAATACAGGCATAAGTGTGCTGCTGTCCACGTACAGAGTTGAATTAAAAAATCATGATATTAAAAATGTATTGCATTTTTTTTTTTTTTTTGTCTTTTGTCTTTTTCCGTGTCCGGCAACGGATCGCAACCCTCAGGGTTGCCCCCGTACCGGACCGGGGACCGGCAACGGGATTGCACCCCTCGGTGTCGCTCCCGCGCCTCGCTCAGCCAGTGAGCGGGAACCGGTCTGTATGTGGGATCCGAACCCTCGGACGGGAGCGCCGCTGCGCTTCCCAAGCGGCGCACTTATCCAGTGCGCCCCCGGGCCGGCCCCCAAAAAAATGTATTGCATTTTTTTTTTTTTTTGTCTTTTGTCTTTTTCCGTGTCCGGCAACGGATCGCAACCCTCAGGGTTGCCCCCGTACCGGACCGGGGACCGGCAACGGGATTGCACCCCTCGGTGTCGCTCCCGCGCCTCGCTCAGCCAGTGAGCGGGAACCGGTCTGTATGTGGGATCCGAACCCTCGGACGGGAGCGCCGCTGCGCTTCCCAAGCGGCGCACTTATCCAGTGCGCCACCGGGCCGGCCCCCAAAAAAATGTATTGCATTTTTAACTAAAGATCGAAAAATCGTTTCATGTGTCTTTGGCCTATCTGTAGTAAAGTTTTGTGCTTTGAACAGTTTGTGGGTATTCTTTTTTTAGTGGCGGCTGGCCAGTACTGGGATCCGAACCCTTGACGTTGGGGTTATCAGCACCATGTACTACCCGTTGAACTAACCAGTCCTAGTAGTGTTATTGTTGAAGTTAACCTCACCACACTGAAATATTTGATAAACAGCATCGGCCAAAGAAGTTTATGTGGGGTCTTTCTACCATTATTTGCACCCTCTTCATTTCTTCAGCTGTTTCTCAGATTAGGTCAGCACAACAGCAGCCAACTTCAAAGATGATTAGAGTGCCCAATAAATACAAATACTTGTAAAAATTATTAATAGGATAGAAAAAGCCAGATTCCAAAGTAAAGTAATATATAAGGTTAACTGCCCATTTTAGGCTTTGGCCTTGTTACATTAGTACTAGGACATACTTGAGTTAACAAGCTCATATAATTGAGCAATGGTAGCCTTAAGGTCTGTGGGAAAGAGAACTGATTAGGAAGTTAGATGTTTTGGGGTCTAGAACTGCTTCTGCCATTAACAACTTTGTGACCTAGAGTTAATAACTTAACCCCTTTGGTAATTAACTAGAATCTGTAAAATAAGAAGATTGTGTTAAGTAACATTTAAAACTGCTTTTATTTTTATAATCATTTGAATTTCCAAAACCAAATTTCAAAGGATTTCTTTGAGCTGTTAAAACATCCAAACAGTGCTTAAAGAACACTTTGATTTTTCTTTTGGACAGTCAGATAAAATGCAAGTGGGACAAAGGCTATACTGTCTTGCCTAACCATTCCATTCACAGACAATGTATATAAATAAATCATAAAATTAGTCTCAATAGTGAAACTTGGAGGAAGTGTTTGGATAGTTTTTCTAGGGCTTTACCAAATGTGTGGTTTATGATTGAAAAATACCCTTGGTTCAAGCCAGAAGATCTGGTTTTCCAGAGGTGGCCTTGTCACATCATTTAACCTCTTTGTAAATGTGTATAAGAACATTTGCCCCTACTGCCACAGAGGCACACAAGAAGTGAAGGTACTGTAAAAATATAAAATTTTAGTAAAACATTTAGTTTTAGATGAGTTTGGTAGAATTATAAAATGTGGTTAACTGGCATTCTCACAGATTATTAATCAGTTTATATATTTTAAAGCTATTAAACCATTACATTTTGTAACTAAGTATCTGGAATGTGAAAAGCCCTGCACTGAATACAGTGGAAGAGGAATGGGAAGTTATGTATTTTTTTTTAAAAAGATTAGTAGCATTTTTTTCAGAATTTTGTTACGAAAATGCTCAAGCACTACAGAAAAGTTGAAAGAATTGTGCCATGAACACTCATGTACCTACCATCTAGATTCTGCAATCAACGATTTGCTGTATTTACTCCATCACATTTTTATCTATCCATCCATCAATCTACCTTTTTATTTTATTTTTTATGCATTTTAAAGTAAGTTTCCATCATCTGGCATACAGATGCCCATCTTCTCACTGAGTCCTCACATGACCTCTTCTCTGTGCCTGTGCGCAGAGGGGCAGGGATCTGTGGTGTCTCTTATAATTTGTATAAGGACACCAGTTCTATCAGATAACAGCCCCATCATTATGACCTCCATTTAAGCTTTATTGCCTCCCTAAAGATCCTATCTCCAGATGTAGTCATGTCAGGGATTGGGGCTTCAATATGAATTTTGGGGGGATGCTGTTTAGTCCATAACAGATATCCACTAGCTGTCAGGCACTTGGGGAGACCCAGTGGATGGGGTATAAAACAAAGAACTTAATCTAAGTAGGGATATAAAACATATAGCATTTTATTCATATTTTCAATTTTCTGTAAGAGTTTAGAGAGAAATCAAGAGATGGTAATTGAGTTGGGCCTTAGGTAGACAGGACCAGGGGAAGTCTAAACAGAAGCAATAGTATATAGGCAAAAATTTTTATTATTTGGGGGAAATAGCAAATCAGTATTGCTGGAATACAAAATCTAACCTGGGGCACAATGGAAGTACACAAATGATTGGAACCAGATTGTAGAAGGCCTTGAATGCCAGGTGAGGAAAGGGAGTAATTTTTGAGCAGAGGGGGTGACATGATCAAAGAGGTGCTTTAGGAATATTTGTCACTGCTACCACTGGCTTTGTTCAGGCCTTATCATTTTTGCAACTAGCTTTGCAACAGGTCTCCCTGTCTTCAGTCACTCCTTTGATATATCCCCCTTTCAATCTAATCTCTGTAATACTGTGGCTTCATACTATTGTCTTTTAAATTGTAGAATGTCAACATGCATCTAATTTTTAGGTTCATGACTAGGTCTAAACTACTTAACATGGCATAGAAGACCTTTTAAAATCCAATCTCTAAGTTCCTCTCCCTAGTCATATCTCTTACCACTGCTCTTATTCATATGTCTTTTTCTTCCCACCCCCTCCTAACTTCCAACATACATTCGAACTCTACTATCCAGCCACATAGACCTATGTACTTTTTCTTGAACACAGCATGCTTTTTGTCATTTTTGTGTTTTCACCTGTTGCCCGTCTGAAATCTTATCTGAGACCCAGTTCATATGTCACCTGGACAAAATCAACTAAGTATTCCTTCCCAGAATGTTTAAGTCTTGGAATTTCTGATAGGAATATTTGTTCATTTATGCATAATTGATTTTGAGTCTCATGGTAATTAGGTACAGACTAGATAGATTATTTTCTAGCATCATCGATGGTTCCTTTTGTAATGTACCCAGCTGTTCTCTTTCCCTGGAGGCTGGATGTCAGAGGACTCTGGAAATTGCAGGCAAGTTTGTTTCTGGCCTGGGTGAAACAGTGTGAATGTTGCTATAAAAATAGGGTTCGAGGAACCAGGTCTGTCTGAAAAGAACATCATGCGAATAGGATTTACTTCTGGGTACTTTCAAGCAGAGTGGGATGAGAGGAAAGGTTAAGAGTTCCAGATCATCCTTGGGAGTATATTGTATTTTAGTCATATGATAGCCCTTTTCCAACCCCCCATATGCCCCCAAACTGCCTGAGGATTAATCTTAGAGATAGAGTATACTATAATTGTAGGGGCAATAGAAAATTTTTTCTCTGTTCCTTCCCACTGCTGAATATAGGCACTTCTTCAGTACCTAAATTGCCTTCCAAGAGGATGAGATTTTCACCCCACAATTAGAGTTGACATAAAATGCAATTCTAAGAAAAGTGCCTGAATAATTTTAAAGGGTCAGCCTAAAATGAGAGATTCATGATATATCAAATCTCTTCTTGTTTTGAGGAGAACGAAAGATAAGAGAAGCTGCGGCACTACAAAATTTGGAGAGTTACCTTTTGCTATGATGACATTTAGAAGCTGATTAGAATCCCAGGTCCTATACAAGATATAGCCTTTAGAGAACCACTGAACTGAATGTATTTCTTTTTTTTTTTGACTGGTAAGGGGATCGCAACCCTCGGCATGGTGTGGTCTGCACCACGCTCAGCCAGTGAGCGCACCGGCCATCCCTATATAGGATCTGAATCCGTGGCCTCGGCGAACTGAGTGTATTTCTGTGTTATCTCTGTGGACATGTGTTGCAGTTTATTGTGTATGATATCTGTTCAGGGTTGTCTTCCGAATATTTTCTTGGTGAATTTGTGTGTGTGAGAAAGAAGGTATACCATTGGGGCTAGACATCAGATTAGGTAGTCATTAATTCCCTATGAA